ATGTGAGTAAATACCGAAACTCTCAAAAACAATCCTGATGCTTGCATTAGTCAATCTAATTTTCTGCTTAATGATACATGTATATCCTTTGAGTATAAGTCAGAAGCACATCAGATGACATGGCTTAAAAAGTTCATCAAACACATTTTTTAAAATAATAGCAAAGAACCAATTTGTTTGAGTACTGCGATTAATTGAATTAATTCCATGATAATGAGGTGATGGCTACCTTGTGTCATCTTTAGGTAAGTGGATTAGCTATAGATGTACAAACTGCAATAAGAGTGCTTTGACCACTTCTGACTACACGACTCATTGATGAAAATCAATACTCATCACCCGATGTCTTTTTTTTTTCATGAAAAACCTATTATTCTTAGTTCCCGATGGATTGGAAATCATATATACGTTTTGTCCTTGGAGACCAGTGACTGGGGATTCCATTTGTGTGAACAATCACCTTATTGTTGATAAATATGATCAATATTCCAAGTTGTCAGTCACCATAGTGCGGTGTTGGCATTTAATTCCGACAATTATCAACAGTCCATTGTTCAATCTTTGAGCACTCGTCATAGGGATTTGAAGTATATTTCAATGAAAGAGAAATTGAAATATTTCTATTGACACTCGAGATGATTACTGGAGAGATCACTCCTGACTGTTACCTGCACAATATTGCATACAAATGCCCCCAATGATTTTTCTGTTGACTAAACGAATGACATGACCTGGAATTTTATTAGCATACATTTTAAGCCACAATGCATCTCAACACAAAATATCATTGCGATTTAGCATGTGACTACATTTCAAGAATAGTGCTACTTCTTGCAGTTCACAAATCATTGGTATACACATGCAATATGATCAAAACAAAACAGTAAATTAAGCAATTGTGTTAACCATAGGTGACTGGTGGATATATCTCTTCTTCCCTATTAATATTTCTAGCCTCAAAGTATTCACCCTCACAGAAATAATCAAAGAATTAATAAATTAATTTAAAAAATAAGGAATTCAATTGAAGAAGTTCTGCCTTAGAACATATTTTTGTGCTGGAAAGTTCAGCTTCAATTTCTTACATAAACATGCCAGTCCTTACTCCATTAAAACTGTATACTCTCCAGAGAGCTGAGAATGAAAATTGAGTGCAAACTGTTCCACTGCCCGGGGTAATAATAATGTGGCACCTGGTGGAATTTAAAACATTAGAGATGAAATTGGAATCAGTACATACAGCACTGTCTCCTGTTCAGTTTTTACAAACTCTGTGTGGTATTAGGTGTCGACAAATAGCCAGTAATTTGAGTCAGTCTCTCATAGAATAGGATGTGCCAGACCAATTGGCTAGAACATTTTTTTCTGTTAGTCAGAAATTAATTTAATATCATGACAGAAACAAAATATAAGATAACACTCCAAAGATACATTTTACTGTCAAGGCAAATTTTAAAGAGCAAATCATCAAGAGCAGGGGTCTAACGTGTCTTAAACTACTATACATCCATAGTCTCCAGTTAAACATTCTTAAACCCTTTGAATGCTGACAGGCTGCTTTACTGACACCCACACCACTGGAGGAGATGGGTTGCTTTAACTGCCCTACATTTGTTGAAGGAGAATGCCATGTGTTGCTGAAGTGTCCACAATATGATATAAAAGCAGGAGTTTCTAATTTATGTGTCCTTGAAATTCATTGGTCTTTTTACATACTTTTTGTATAGTTTTACAAAGTATTTTCAATGTTATATATATTATAATGTGTTTTAAATACTCTTATCCATTAAAAAACTCTCATAATTCTGAAAAGAATGGCGAATAACATCTTATCTCTGTCATTTATGTTTTATATGTCGTTTATGTAATGAGCTTAAATAAAACATCTATCTTGTCTGAGTATACCAAGAACTCGTAAACAGCTTGTGATGAAGTCCTTTACAGTATTGCTTGTTAGAGTATAAGAAAACATAGTATTAACTTTTCTGTCAATGATTATAATTCTCTCCTACTCAATTTGTAATTTACGCAATTTATCAATTTTCACACACAAAATAGTGCATACCCGTACCTAAAATGCTAGCCAGAATACTGCAATCTTGATGATCTTTTGTTTCACAGCTGGATTTTCATGAGACACAAAAATATGAAATTTATGAATATATTATTATAATATATAACTGAAATGAGAACTGAGCAGAAAACTAATCTTACTTTAAGAAATATATATTATTTTCCAGCTTGAAAGCAATACATACACCAAAGGCCTTTTGTTCCAGATTAGTTCCTCTTGTTACAATACATGAATAGTTATCATGTCTCTGATAGTTTGTGGCCATCACTACAGCACTGAGATTCCCCTACAGGCTAAACCATCAAGTCAGAGATGCTAAGTGACAGCATTTCATCACTTAATTATTCATGAATTGAAGCGGAAATCAACATCAGGGCAAGAAATCAATGAAAGTGCAATACAATAACATGCCCAAAAGAAAGAAGAAATATATACTGAAAGATAATTGCAGCTAATGCAAGTTAATCCTGGTTGTCATAGCAGGCAGTACAGACTAGCATAAATCTACATATGATTTTACGGAATAAAAGCTGAAAGCGGAAACATAAACCCAGGAAAACAATAATGAGTGGAATTATTCATCATATTAAAACAGTTGTCATGAACCCAGGGATACGATAATGAGTGGAATTATTCATCATATTAAAACAGTTGTCATGAACCCAGGGAAACAATAATGAGTGGAATTATTCATCATATTAAAACAGATGCCATGAACCCAGGGAAACAATAATGAGTGGAATTATTCATCATATTAAAACAGATGTCATGAACCCAGGGAAACAATAATGAGTGGAATTATTCATCATATTAAAACAGTTGTCATGAACCCAGGGAAACAATAATGAGTGGAATTATTCATCATATTAAAACAGTTGTCATGAACCCAGGGAAACAATAAAGAGTGGAATTATTCATCATATTAAAACAGATGTCATGAACCCAGGGAAACAATAATGAGTGGAATTATTCATCATATCAAAACAGATGTCATGAACCCAGGGAAACAATAATGAGTGGAATTATTCATCATATTAAAACATATATAAAGATGTGTCATGTAAAAATTCAGAATTTGCAGCATCCTTTCATTCAAGATGAACCATCTTCTCATTATTTACATAGATGTCTGTGTTCTGTGGATCAAAGTATGTTGACTGTGTTGTAACTACATTACCACCTTCTAACACGTCTTAGATATGTAACCAAGACCCTCCATAACAATTACAATCAGTAATCATTAAGAATAAATATACAGTTAGTGCATTCAGTGCACCATATGTCTATCATCTTCAATGATAGCAGTGTTAATGTTACACATAAATGCACTAAGCATAGCAGAGAGTGCATATTTACAACCCACACCATTAAGTATCATTTAGATATATCTCTTATTGATGTAATTATCCGAATAATAAGAGGACTACGTACTAAGGGGATGCTGGTATGACTTTTTGTGTAGGATTACTCTGACCCACTGACATAATGGGCACAGTAAGAACATCAGTGACATATGTATTCTCCTGTGTGTTATTACTAGTTGAGCTTCAGGAACATCGGGGAAAACCTAGACTAACATCTAGTCTCTGAAATGAACATATTTTACAGAAAAAACAGTTGTTAAATTATAGTTATAAAATATAATAAAAAGAAGCCCAGAGACTGTTTTCATTTTCAGACACTGCAGTAATCTACCGGTAGACTTGCCAAACATTATAGACTTGCATGGGCTGTATTGGATATATTTGTTTCAGGGTCTGTATGACAGACTAGGGAAAAGCCTCTTGTTGCTAATGTGTATGCCTCTAGCCTAGACTTGCACAAGTATATAGAACTTTTAATTTGAACTAATAATTATTGTCTTAGATAATGTAAATAATAACAAGTTGTCCATACTGTCCACATATCTAGACTTGCTTATTAGGAGGATAGAATTACTTCACATCCATAGACTTTTCTTTCAGTACAGCCTTGGAGCAATGCTACCTCTGACCCACAGATCATAATGGGCACAGTAAGAACATCAGTGACATCTGTATTCTCCTGAGTGTTATTACTATTTGAGCTACAGGAACATCTGGGGGAAAGCCTCTTACTGTTGCTACTGTGTAGAATGACTGACCTACTGAACATAATGGGTACAACAAGAACATCAGTGACAGCCATATTCTCCTAAGTGTTATTACTATTTGAGCAACAGGAACATCTGTGGGAAAGGGCTCACCCTGTTGTGACATTCATAATGAGTGAGTTAGTTGGTTTAAATGCTGCGGGGAATTTTAGTATTTCAGTAAAGCACAAAGTGGAGCAGGTTGTAGATCTTTACCACCCACAAAAAACTGGTAAGATTTTGACAGACCACTGATCAATGGTGAATCTAGAATTTGAATAAATGTGAAAAAGCCCTTTCCATAATCATAACCCATGATCAACAGATCCTCGCACTGCCTTGGGATTTAGTTCTATGAAGCGACTTCTATGCAAATCGTGCCTCCACATCAGCATTGAAGAAACATATCATTCAGCAGCAGCTGATGAATGTTGCAATTACATGTAGCTTGAGAACAGTTGTGTCTGCCTCTAGCTTCTAACCCTCACATGCCTCTGCTTGCAAGCAGTCATTTTATCAGTTAATGTACCTCGAATATGTGATACAACTTGTGGTGTACACATGTTTATATAAGATTTAAAGGCTCCAGACATGATGGATACTCATAATCAGTTACATGTATGAATATTAGCTATTGCATCCAGCGACAAATGTGACATAATCAAATACCATCACACAAATCTTTGCAACAGAAGATGAGGATACCGGTACTTAACTTAACATAAGATGTGTGGAAAAAGGAGTATATTGTATGCAATGAAAGACTGTGAGAAAAGATAGTAAAGGTTGTGATTAATATTCTGCTGTGTGACCCACCTTGTCTTTAATCCCTTGGTCAATCTCTTCAATTGGCCAACCACAGTACGGTGTAGGAAAAACTCCATAGTTTTCTGTGAGCGTATTTCCTTCATGGAGAAGAGGATCTGGTTCCAAAATGTGGTCTTCTTCATCCTCATCTCCAAACCTAAGGTCACCATCTACCAGACGTGCTGTTTGCCCTTTGACAAGCCGTTGTTGTGCTTTCAACTTATCTGACTTTTCTCGAATCACAAGTTCCTCATATGTCTTCTCTGTAAACTTCCTGAAATGACACATCTTGCTGAATGGTTTAGGTTTCTCCTCCTCAGATTTCTTCTGTTCTTGACCAGGGTCCTTGATTTCAAGAGGAACTTTAGGAGGCATGTCATCTGCTGGTGACGAAACCTCCTCGTCCACAGGTGGGACTTCACCATCTTCAGGAATGGTGGTGGCTGTAGTCTTTGCAATGTCTTCATCTTCAGTTTTCATGATTTACACATGCAAACATCAGGTGCTACTTCAGTTTGGTGGGGCACGGGCCTGTGTCCCTGCAGCTGAAGTTCTTATGGTGTTTTAGAGTCTATTGAAGTTAGGTCCCATCAGTACTAACTTCCACATATACCATCTTCTTTATGTCTCATGCTTCCTGCAATTGTACATACACAGTGATTAATTTCTGAAATAACGTGTTTCTAATTACCACTTTCAACTGAATATCCAGTCTTTTCAAGTTTAATACCATATTCCAGTTATTGCAGTTTTCTTTTAGTTATTTTCACTTTGAGGAAAACATCATTTGAATGTATTTAGGTCTAATATTCTCAAATATGAATTCATTGCACTTCACTGTATTTATCTTCCAGCCAAAAGGATACACTTCAAAATGAGATTTGACAAATAAAATTACAAAAACGTAACTAGGCTGAAAATAGTTTAGTGGCGGAAACACTGCAAACATAAATCAAATACAGCACCATCAAATAAATAATTTCTTATTTGTTTTATTTTTACCCTCAACAGTGCTCAAACATGGGTGTATACTCAATGTATACAACCAACTTTGTTAAAGGTACACAAATGTGTTTAACCAAGTCAGTGACTTGTCATTTGTCAGAACAAAAACTGGTGCATTGAAAAATGTTTGAAACTGTTTGATACTTTTAGCTATTCCCTTGAATGAAAGATTTTAACTTTACCCAACTGCTGATACTCTTAAACAGCTGTTTGGAAATTAATAGCCATTTGTTTGAAGAATATATGTATAATTTAAGGTTTGCGATACAATATGCTGAGTAAGATACAAAAGTGTATCAAGTAATTTCCTTTGCAGAAAGTAAGCAAGACAATTCTGACACAATATGTCCATGTATGACATAATAGTAAAGAATTCAAACTTTAAATTACCCCGCAGGCTAGTAAACACAAAAATTCACAATCCTTCCTGAACATTCACTAGTCCCATGTTGCTGTAAATATGTTGTTTGCAAGCAACTGTTAAAATCTTTCAGTCTTTCCTGGTCTGATTCAACATAGTGGGCCAATCAGTATTAACTGCATCCACTAACTGAAGTGATGAATTCCAGGAAGTCTTGTCACACCCTAAACTATTATATAGTTACTGAACTTGTCAGCAGGACTAGTAGACTGTTACATTGTAATACCTCAAAGCAAAGTGGCTAGTAGATAATCACTGTATTCATCTAAAATGTTATCTAGTATGATAAAATAATATTAATATATACATGTATATTCAAGCTGTTGGTGTTTTGAAGAAAGCAACGGAAAATATGTCTCCAGCCCTGAAACATATTATTTCATATCCATCTGTTCATAAATTAAAAAAAATCATATCAAGGAATATCTACAAAAAGCAGAGTCCATAAGTAATTAAAGTTACTTTAGTTTTAAAACGTTCAACTTAACAACGATAATTCATGCTGTGTCATTATTGAAGTACTAAGAATATGAACTGAGAACCTCATTGCCAAACAAGATGTGTTTATGATCTGGTTGATACACCTACCTCAAGAGATTACCATCAGATAAACATAATAACTCATCTGATAACATACATATAATTCATACATCCTTCATCGCTCTTCAATTCGGTGTTTAATTCCACTGTCAGTGTCCCACTGTCAGTAGAATTCCAGAGAAAGTCGTTTCACTATTAATGCGTCTTCACAAACACTACGTTTGTTCCCAGTAGGTACACAGCTGTAAGCAACCCATGTTCACGCTTTGCATATTTCGTCCCCAACAACGAACACCTTGCGACACTCGTGACGGCCGTTACACAATAATACCCACAAACATGGCGTTCTAAAGACTACCAAAGATTGTGGGTGAAGTCGGCAAAGTTTGTATACACGCAAAGGTCTTTAGAATGGGAATTCTAACTGTTAAAAAGAAGACGAAAACGTCTTCAACTCTACCCTTATCACTGGTGTGTATCATCCAAACCTACCTTGTTATTAAGCCAGTCTCTATGTCACGTTATTAATCCAAGTTTAAAGATCACATAACGCCAGCCACGCCGAGGCAATAAACGCCAGCTCGCCAGGCATCGACTGCTCTAAGTCCACGACGTCACTCAGGTGTATGGGATTCCTTAACCATGTGACTGATCTGCAGGTATTGGCCAGCTATAGCCAGCACGGGCATACTGTTCGTTTGACGGCGATATAAGTCACCTGTTTCTTTCCTCAGTTAATACAGAATCATTTGACAAGATGCGAGTATTCACCACGATGATTTTGTCTAGCTTGACAAGGTCCAATAAGCAGAATGACTTTCTTTTGTTCTCAATAGTAATAACTAATTGATAAGGATAAACGCTTGGGTGATGCCAGTCCCCCCACACACAGTGTTTGTTTTGAGAAGTTATATACCAGGTTACATCGATTGAGTCCGAGTGTTATTGATGGTAACCGGCGATTGCTTACTAACATGTGTAACTTATCCCCTGCGTCGATGTCCTGTGAACTTTAATTATACAGCTTCGTTGACCGCGGAACAAACGCAGTTACCAGACAGTGGTAACGTCATAGTGAACACTACATTCCGTTAATCTTAGATATTCAAATATGAAGAAAATATCCGTTAACATACCTGTCCGAGTTTGTAGGACACAAGTATTCCAAACGTTACCGGTGCTAATCGAACTGGTAATCTGTTAAAACTGAGCGAGTTTTTCGAGAACAATACAGTAGCTGGGACTTCGGCTTAGTAAGTGATCGTTAGAGCGTAACAAGCAGCAAATTACTCGTAACTATATTTCCGAAATCCACTTAATCAAACGCCTATTGTATACAGGCATCTAGCCGCACTCTTGTAGAATGCAGTGGTGTATTAGTGTTGGGCGGTCGGTCGGAACACCCAAATCCTTTTATTGACAAGCCCCAATTATTGAAGATTGAATAGGGCTTTGCAGTGGCAAGGCAACGTCTACAGTTTGTCAATTGTAGCTGTGACGCCCGGGTGAAAGGTGACGGCTTAGATCGCAGGCCACAACCCTGACTTAAGTATTCCAACACTGTAAAAGTCCATACATTTTGTACGTGTCTGTCTGAGATTTTAATATAGATTCAGAGACACATTCACACAGGTCATACGTCCTGGCAATAGATACGCCGAACAACAATACGGATATACATTACTAGATACCAATCTCATAACTCGCCAATCCTCAGACACTCCCGAGTATACTCCTAGATTTCCTATCAAAGCAACAAGACCACGAAATCCTTATAAAGCAATTGTATCTATTTGCGTATACAAAACAAGCTTTACAGCATTAAAGAGCATGAAGGAAAAACATATCCTTGAGGCAATGACGTCATCGTTTGATAAACTGTTGGAGACGATCACGTCAGAAACCTTGCTTCGTTACACGTGACTACACCTATGGTGAAAATCATTTTGAAGCATCATAACATCGATTTATTCAAACTCTAAGATATGGTTCTGTCTTGAATGTGACAAATTTATACCCCGACCACTCGGCATTTAAACAAAGCCGATTGAATGGAACCATCGACTGGTATATAGCCGTTGTGTTGGACATGCGGCGCGTTAGTGTTGCTTCCTGTTAATGGCCAGTCATTTAGGTGTACAGTTCTATAATAACTGTTGACAACGGAAACGTTTCTATTCTATCTGTTCACTGGTAACTATATGTGTTGTTTAAAGTGTCGGCGACAGTCGATGTCATTACTTTCACCTGGCATGGTGTTTGTTCAACGTCTTATAATGAGTAAACAGTTTCATTATGGCTTTGAATATATCATCACTCACCGGCACAAATCAATGATGAAGAGAACTTACGCACTTAGAGAACACTGTCAACGATAATTGTTGCCGTCAATCAAGGAAACGCGGGTTTACTGAACCTTAGCAGGAATGTATTAAATGTGGGTTTTTTAATTGGAATGCCGGAGTCATTTTTTATTGTTTACATACACTTGGTAACTAGATGACGCAGATATCAACATAGTCATGTAGTAATAATCATAGTGTAACAAGATCACCATCTTCATCTAAAGTACTGTAACGTTGACAACACGAACAGCAGGACCTATGTAGCATGACCCTAACCACTAGACTCGCACGGCCTTGCAGTGTCTGGAATACAGCCTTTAATGTCAAAGTACGCTCTGACAAGAAATGTGAGTGAATGTAGTTGAACACCGCAGTCAGCAATGTTCCAACCATCATGCACGGCGGCCAGTAAATAATCGATTCTGGACCAAGCAAACCAGTGGGTATATTATTAAATAAAAGCTACAAAACCCTTTCCATAATCATAAGAAATCTGTGCTAAAAGCCGAGTCCATTTTACGATTCCGACTACATAATAAATATTTGTGAATCATGGTTCCCGTTGCATGAGCAACGATCACCATCGGGACAAGATGTCAGCAATCATCCAAGTCACACCATTGAAAGCCGAAGTTCTGAACAAAATAGTTAAATTCTACGCATTTTTACTAACACCCATCTCTATGTTTAGAAACACGTGTTTGATAGTAAAATGGCATACAATTTCATTACTTAATCAGAAGTGCGATAACACCACCCAATCCATATTTTAGTCCGTTCTTACGACAGGCGTGTGGTTTGAGGTCTTATTGTGACCCGTTTTCTCCACAAAGAGCAGGGGCGGTGGTTAAAGAGGAAACCCGGGTTCGAATCCCGGGTCCATTCTGCCGGTGCCTCACATCCCTTTTTGCGAACACCTTGTAGTATCACTTCACAGTGATTCATACACACATTCTATTGATTTAGTCGGAATCCTACAATGGCCTCTGCGTTTAGAAGGGATTACTTATGATTATGGATTATTTTGGTCGCTTTTTATTTAATATCCACATTTCACCATCCTCGATAATCCGTGCAGTGGATAATATCGTCATTCTGTTAGGACAAAATACCCGTGACGCGTTTGCAATTAACCATACATTCGTTTTGACGCTAAAATAGCCAACCAATTACATAAGACTAACGAGCGAGAGAAAATCTGTGCGATGTTACTGTTTGGACAGACAAGGATGGCGACACTTCCTAAAGTGAATGAATGAGTATGGTTTTACACAGCTTTTAGCAATATTCAAGCACTACCACGGCGGGGGACACCAAGAATGGGCTTCATACATTGTAGCCATGTGGAGAATAGAATCAGGGTCTTCGATGTGACGAAAGACTACCCCACCGCCTCGAGACTTCCTGCACGAGGATATGATAGCAAATGAGTCCCGCGTGTGTTTATCACAAAAGCATGGAGATATAACACACAGGTTTAACTACTACGCTTTTCGCCCTTGATTAGTTATTCACGTGCATGCAAAACCAAGATGTTAACGGATGAGAATTGTACGCGTCATTCAGCTTCCCATGCGGTAAACACATTACCCACATACTTGTTTCTTCAATATGCAAACAAAGAAATTTGATTAAACTATCAGTTTTGGAAACTGTCGGTAGATGAAGAAAGTTCAATCTGTAATGTAAAGCGAATGAATGTTTAAGGACGCAGTTTATAGAGTAAATACGTTATTCCAGCTATATCACGAATGCATGCAAATAATCGAACCCTTGACAACTTGTCTACGAGCAGAGGCCCGGGTGGTTCAGTCGTCTAAGGCGCCGCAATTCGCTTTGCAGAGTTGCATCCCTTGGGAACACCAGAGACCTTTGCTTGTGTGTTCGAATCCCGGTTCGCCCCGATTATGTTTCTTGGTTTGTCAGCACCATGTCCGTGCATGTGGGTTTCACTTAAGTGGTAAACGTCATCACTTCGGACTTCCGCATTAAGCTGACACGCCGTGATATAACTGAAACACTGTTAAACGCGGGGTTAATCCCAACTTACTCATTCTTACTGCAAGTATTGGATACTGGGGACTACATCTGTAATATGATTAAGTTGTAAGAGAGATATAACATATGTTAGAGTCTCAGCGGTAGAATTTAACTGTTTTCGTCCACTAGTCCTTATAATGATATAGCATATAGCAAAACCCTTAAAAGGAGTACATTTCTACTAGTCTTCATGATATCTTAACTATTTGGCAGTTTGGCAAGGACTACAGGACCAGTACAAATTTCTGACGCTGCTTTCATAGCCGCCATGCCACGTTTAGTCCCACCAGGCACCGTTAGACTGCACCGATATACACCGGTATACAATGCCAGCGGAAAGTCGGTATTCCGGGTCCTACAAATACATGTGCTCTATACATATACATAACCTCAATTATGAAACCTAATCGTCTTTCTGCTCATGATTTCCCGCCGGGGAAGTTAAACTTGCAAACGTCTTGCTTCATAGGCAGTTTATAGACTGAAACGTATCCTAACCGTTTAAAAGGTTACGTATATTCAATCAGAAAGGTCAAGAACCGATGTTGACTCCAAGACGTTTGGTTATACTGATAATGCATAGGGGGTTGTCTAAACATACATGGGGGCACGGATGGTACAGTCATCTAAGGCGCCACAATTCGCTGTCCCTTTGGTGTGCCCGAAACGTATGATTGAGAATTCGAATTCCATATTCGAGGTTTGTAAGCAACGTACCCTTGTTTGTTGGTTTCACCAAAGTGGTAAACGTCTAAGGCAAGCATTATACGTTGTAATGGGATTTCTTTCAACATCAAGCTGTCAAGCCGTGACATAACTAATATGCTGTTCAAAGCAGCTTAAACCAAACCTACCCGCCACTCACTCTTCAGTATTTAACTGATTATTTCGATTGTAAATGAGTGACTCACCCATAATAGGCACAGTACATGCATAGGCACACAACTTTTGTCGCAAGTTTATGTAATTGAAAGGAAGAACTGGTATCGTATCATATACATCATATAGGTATATATATTACATATTTTAATTGGTTCGTATGTGGCAATGCTATAAGTTAGTGAATGTCCAAAACACCACAGTCAGCAACATTCCAGCCATATCACTGCAGCCTGTATATGAACGCATCTAGACCAAGTAAACCAATGAGTGAGAGCATGAACATCGAACCACGTCATAGTGGCACCACGAGATGCAACCACCCAAGTCAAAGTCCACCGATTCATTTTAGTCGACTCTTACGGCAAGCTCAGGTTTTATACCGGGACCAATTCTACCCTGGAGACTGAGAGGTGGAGTAAGTAACACTCGTCCCAAGGTCATTTGTCGATTACCATTGTATGCGATCCATCAAAGGAATGATTCACCAATCAACCTCGAGTGACACGGTACAAATTGGAAGACTGAATTTCCCCAACTCAGCTCCTTTAATCACACGTAGTGGCACTTTCGATTTAATATTTACTTCTTCTTTGCCGACT